CCGGCCGCAGGTGGGACAGGGCGAGGAGGCATGCCTGAGCCTGGCACTGGTACGGAAGGGCAGCAGCGACAGCTCCTGTCTGTGGGGTGACCAAGTAGGTGACCTACTCGGCCTGGTGGCAGAACTGAAAGAGGAGGTGGAAAGGTTAAGGAGTATCAGGGAATACGAGAGGGAGATGGATTGATGGAGCCACACCCTGCCATCCTTGAGGCAAAGCAGCACCCTTAAAAATCTTTTAAAAGAAGAGGGCTTCAGTAAAACCTCGCAGACATCAAACCTGAAGATTAACCATTAGAGGGCACTCTCTTCTGCTCTGAGGACCTCGTCTTTCGTTCCTAGCCTATTTTGAGAACTTACCTAAGAGCCAAGAAAACAGCACCCCTGAAGAGCTATCACAGTTGGTGATCCATAGTCATACCCTTGAGCTGCTCAGTGTTTTAGCTGCATTGCAGACTAATTTTTATATGAATATAAAATTATAAGTATAAATACAGTAATATGAACATGGATATAAATATGAAATACAAATATTAATCTTCCTCCCAGAATTTGAACTGGAGAGGGATGAGTCTCTTTGCTTCCCATAAGGTGCACTTCCGCAGTACTGCGCTTTATCCCAAGTGGCTACTTCGAGTAGCAAATTAGTACTTCCCTACGCACAGATGGTGCGTCACACCGTACACGTTACATGAAGATTGAAAGTCGTTGTAGGAAAGATTGCTAATTACTGGGACACAGCGACTTACCTTTCCTGACCCTAGGCATAAATTCTAGTCATTAAACACTGAGATTGAAAGAGTGCGAGCAAATGTACAAAATTTTTAAAGTTCAAAGGCTGCAGTGCAAAGCAGAATTGTTAAATATTACGGATGCGTGCTGCAAACCATTGAACCCCATGAAAGGGGTTTGAGAGGGAAATGTTCTGAAATTGTTGTTGCTAAAAGGCACGCACATTGTGGTTAACAGAGCCCAGGTGCTGACTGGTTTTGTAAATTTGAGCAAACTAAAACAAAATAGTGTTTTGGTGTCTGTCAGCCTGAAATGTGAACTCTTTTGAAGGATGTTTTCATTGTATTGGCCTAGCCACTTTCAATTTAAACCCATTACCCCTTGTCCTGCCACTACAGGCCCTTGAAAAAAGTCCCCCCCAGCTTCCTTGTAGCCCCTTCAGGCACTGGAAGGCGCTATAAGGTCTCCCCGGAGCCTTCTCTTCTCCAGGCTGAACACCCCCAACTCTCCCAGCCTGTCCCCATAGCAGAGGGGCTCCAGCCCTCGGAGCATCTCCGTGGCCTCCTCTGGACTCGCTCCAACCGGTCCACCTCCCTCTGATGTGGGGGGCCCCAGCGCTGGACACAGCACTCCAGGTGGTCTCAAACATCATACATCATTAGTGTATGCATGCAGAAAACAGTTTCTTTTAAAGTAAAGGAATGAAACAAGAATCTCCAGAGAAGTTATAATCAACCACTGTCTCAGGGACAGCAGCCTTGGTGAAGCTGTAGCACCAGGGACAGATACCAAGCCCTGCTCAATGCAATTTGGCCTGGTGTTGCTGGTTTTGCCGATTCTACTTGTAGAATTCTGTCTTGTGAAGGTTTGGTATTCTGTTGCTTCCATTCACCTGCATTTGGTACCTTGTTTATGGCCACTGTTATGTATAACTTTGTCTCCAGACTGTACTTTTGTATATACTGTTAGGCCTATGTGCACAAATTCTTAGAAAGGCCTCTTCTGTGTAATTGACTATGTCTTTCAAAGAGTTCACAGTTGTATTCAGACTGCTCTAACTCAAGAAATTTAACTGGAATTGCTGTGGTTTAGGCTGTTGACTTTTTACTTTTTTTTTCCTTTTGTCACTCCTAAAAGTTTTGATTTTCAGCCGAAAAATAAGGAGAAACAGTAACACCTTTCATAGAAACCATGCTCTGACAAAGGTGAGCACCATGCTGCACTGAGAAAATACTTAGATTTGGATCTGTTATGTTCAGGTTGTAAAGAAAAGCACAAATTAGCTAGCTGTTAGTATTCAGTTGCTTGTAAAGTGAATTAAAAGGTGAAGTGAAAAGGTCACACTGAGCATAGGCTTGTCTTTTCTAAATTAATTTTACATCAAAATAAACAGTTAAGGGATGTTACAAGCTGCCGCTGCCTCCAGCAGCTCTGTGGCCTGGGAATCCCTCCGGCTCAGCCCAGAAACTCTGGTTGATTTTCCATTTGCGGGTTCAAACAGTAGCAAGGCTGACTGTGCTGCTCGGAAGCGGACAGCCGTACGGAGGACACGGCCAGCTACACAGACTGCCTTCAGCAGCCCCCAGCTTCAGCGCTAGCAGGACTCAAAGCGTACAGACCGCCACCTCCCCTTTCTCTTCTTCAGCTCGTAAGGATTGAAGTTCAGTAGTGAAAGTAAACTTCCCCCCCTGCTTGGGCAGGGAAGTTGGGCCAGGTGACCTCCAGAGCTCACTCCCAACCTCAACCATTCTGTGGTGCTGTATGAAAAAGGTACTGAGTTTTGGTTATGCCAGTGGCTGAAAGTTCATGAAGGCCCAAAGACTGTGAGGAAGGCTGTTTATTTGTGGTGAGGTACTGTGTCCAGGGAATTAGCAATAATGGGTATGCTTTAAGAAAAAATAAGTAAAATGTGAGGACACCATGTAATTTAAATAAGGAATAGTCTTCCAAGGTGTGCTAGGAGAACTTCCCTCTCAGATGCTGACACTTCACAAAGTTGTCCCCGAAACAGGTTTTAGGAATAAGCCTGCTCAAGCTGCAGGTTGATTCTCTTGTGTCTAATGTTGGTATTTTTTTATTTCCAGCCTCTTCTTCCTGAGTCTCCCTCTGCCATCAGCCCCCATTCTTTCTATGGTCCCACTGTTGACCTCTTCCAAATGCAGTGAAGAATGATACAGCCTGAGAGAGGAGAGGGAAACCTTACCTCCTGTTAATTTACTGAGCTGTCCTGGTGCCAGGGCAGCAGAGGGGTATTAAAGCAGGGAAACGGCTGCTGTGTCCAAGCACAGACTGAACAGGAGGGGGCAGGGAGTCTCTAGTTACACTTTTCCCTCTGTCTTTCCCTCACCAGTAACCTTCTCTCTCAGGGTGTTCTGTGGGATTTTAGCTGAAGCCTTGCATCTGTTTCCCTCCATGATTTTGCCGTGGAGAGCAGACGGGAACAGCCACTACTCCACAGGACATTGCCTTTGGGGATATGACCGGGGATGCCTCTCCAACAAGAGCGTTCCGATACCAACAAACTCTGGTGAGTACAATACCTGTAGGAGGACAGAATGTTTCCTATACTA